GAATCTGCTCCAAGATTGTGCCGGGCACAGACCTACATTCAATACCACCTACATTCAATAGGTCTACATTCTCACAGAAACTCTCCCTGAAGGAAAGTAATTTCCATTTGTGCCAAAACCACAATGTCAGGCCTCTCTGACAATTCAAGCTGCAAATGATCATGCAGCAGATACTGAGGTAGATCTAGCTTGCAGCTGCTACTGGAAGTGAAAAGAAAACCATTCCCTTGAGATCACAGCTTAACCTGAGGCAGTATTTTTGGTTAGGAACAGACTGAAAACCAGTGCTCTACAGTCTGTGGACCACTGGAGGTCTCTTCAAACAAAAGGTCTGCAGAAGGTATTTAAGAGAAGCAAACTTTATGTCAGAAGACCTGAGTTCTCTTTATAGAGACCCACTGTAGTTGGCAAACTGATGGGGGTTGAAAAGCACTCTGATTCTTATCAAGAACTTAGACACGGAAAAAGTATGAAATCCATCAAACCTGGTGTGCTAGGTGAGCCCCTACGGCAGCCACAGCTGAGTAATACGGGAATGTCTGGTTACAATTCATTCCTGCCATGCACAAGCTCAGCAGCATTGCAAGGCTGAAGCCACTGAGCCACTGCTTCGTATCCTCCTTGAACTGCAATGCTGTTGACTTCACACCGATCATGATGTCATCCCTCTTATCCTACAATGAAATGAGGAATTAGCAAAAAATCCACAACACAATCACCACTTTGTAAGGTAAATAAAAAGGGGGATGTGCTTAAGTTTCCAATGCTTCTTATTAGGAACCCAATTTAAGTTCATTTGTAGGTCCCTACATTAAAACTGAAATTAGAAGGTTGGTCCATAGAGCTGCTTTAACAGCCAAGAGCTAATACCAATGCTGAAGTTATTTACACAATGCAAATGCATAAGCACACAAAATGCATTATACTTCCAGCTTTCCACCTTGTATGTAAAACATTTGCAAGCAGCAATAAAGGGTCCAAGGGCTGGGGTTTCTTTGGTTACAGGTCCAAGGGCAATAAAGGGCTATGGTTTTAGCTCAGCTGAGGGCAAAGAACTACAGCAGGTTAACACTGCTGTTTGACAACAATGCTGTAACTTACACACAGAAACATAAATATCTAAAATTTCCCTCTGCTACTCTACCTGGTGTGCATAAATGGTATCATATACCAGAGTCCACATTACTCCAGCTAAGTACAAGGGCAAGCACGCAGACCACTCACATGACCCTCTGATGGCAGACCAGCCAAGAAGGGCTCCCCAGTTAAATGTAAGTCCTAAAAGCATAGAAAGAGTAGCAGAAAAAAAGTTACAAGATTGCCAGGAGTGATCTATATTGCATGTATATAATTAAATATTATTTGAGTGTATTATCATACAGTAACTTTCTGTACATTACCAGCATCTCTATTTTTCTATCACTTACTTTCAGGAAGGTAATAAATACAAGTAATCTGACATTAAATACTTTGGACATACAAGGAGAAATACGTATAGCCAGGCATTTTTTTCCAATTTAAATTTTACTTCATTAGCACAGGGAAGCATTTGTACAAACATATTCCAGCATACTCAAACAACAGGCCTTAAGTTACAACACTTAAATGTCAGCATAACAAAAGACGTTAGTGTAACTGACTACAAAACAGTGCACAGCAGCCAACTATGGGACTTCAAAGGCTGAAAATGACAATTTGAGTTGAAAAAGCTGAAGGCAGCTGAAATGTGAAGTCCAAGATACATTTTAGTAGCTCAATCTGAAATACAAGCACTGCCGGCTTCTGCGCTGACTTATTTAGAGGCTGAAGACTGAAATGCAGGATAAATGCATGTTTAAGAAAGGTTTTGAGGTAACCTCAAAACTAAAGCTGATTCTCAAATGACAAATACTTTTCTCCCTCCCCTTACTCCATCAAACTAAGGAACTGATTTTTAACAAAAAACCCCTAGCCCAAACATCAACTCTTATATGTGTTATAAATTGTTTAAGAAGCTTCTGGCACAACAGAATTCCACCTTAAAGGTATTTTTGTTTTAATATAAAGTTTTACAAAATCAGAGTCTAACATTCAATTATTAATTTGCGAAACACCCCAAAACCTCAACCCAAAATAAAAAAAAATAGTAAAAATATTTCCAGCTCACCCAAAACTAACTGTGGCCAATATGTTATCCTCTTCATCAGAGGGTAGGTGACCACAAGAGACAAAGAGGCTGCTCCCAGAACGATACTGTAAAACATACCAAAAGGGTTATTGTTTGCCAGTCTAAAGATCACAAGATACAGTGTAGCATCACAGGAGAGGTAAAGATTACTGAACTAATTCTTTTACTTTGAAATACAACTCCACAACTGACAACCTCCTCCCTCTGCCCCCAGCGACTTTTCTGCTGAAAATCTCTGTGCTTGACTCTGGACCCAGAATCAAATCTTAAAAAGCAAAACATAACTTATATGTCACCTATAGTAATTCAGACACAGAAGCACACAAAGCGCCAAGCTTAGCTGTCCACCAAGAAAAACAAAGGACTGGAAAGTGGAGATATCTCCAGCTGCCAGGGGTCTACTCGCCGTCCTCACAACCTAAAAATAGAAAGAATAATGTTAATAACAAATCCAACATAACACATTCCAATACATCTTAAAACTAAAAGTCACACCATTGGCATATAGTGGAAAAATCAGCAGAAACAGGTCACAGAATTTATGAGATGAGGTTCCTTTAACGACACAAATCTAGCATATCTTCACAGACATGAGCTGTACTTCTAAGCAGCAGTGCTTATAGTAGAACCATGCAGGCTTTAAAACCCGGAGCAGGAATAAAATGCCTATTATGGTGTGATATCTAATAAGGCTGATTAGAAACACTGTAGACATCTTGTATATGAATTTTATTACCTCAGGGGGAAAAAAACCCATAAATAAATCAGACTTTAGAAGTGGGCTGGCTATCCAATTCTGAGGAGCACTCCTGTGCTCAAACACCTTAAAGTGATTACTGGTTACTATGCAAAATATCATAAAGATGCAGGGCTCCTCTAGCACACATAACCATTGATAGTAACTGTGAAAGGACAAGTAATTTAATCCTAGTTGGGATACAATGGAGCTTAGAAACTCTGTCTGGAACGAGAAATCATAAAAGGTAAACTGAGAGAAGAAACAAATATTGGAAACAAGTTAAACTAAAATCTGCAGTGAGTTATTTGCCAAAGGTGACCATTGCCAAAAGGAAAAAGAAAAAACCAAAAAACAAATATCTTGTATGTCGATGAAAACAGTTAAGTCCATTCAACAGTCTATTCTCCTATTCCAAGAGGTTCAAAGGCCAACTTTTTACAGAATACTGTGGATGTATAAAGTGTTCTGCATATGCTTTAATAATGTGAATTTAAATAAACTCTTTCAGTTTGTTCCCATGCCTCAATCAGATTAGGTTAAATGTCAAATTTCTGCTGTTGCATTTTAAACATGCACTTAACATATTTGTGACTAATTCCACTGCACATTGCAACTAAACATGGGATGCTTCATTTAAAGAGAAGAAAATATTTCCTGAATAATCAGTAACGTAAAATGTAAAATCCCAAACCATCATCACCAGCACAAGACAACATCCTGCTATTGACCCAGCCCCTATCACACTTGTTCTTATCCTTTTAAGACACCTAATACTGTGACAGGAGTGTCAAAAGCTTTACATCAAATCACATTAATGCATAAATCAATTAATTATATTGAAAAGTCCCTATTACTAATCACACACCCCACCTTGGCAAATATTTTTAGCATATGTAGATGTTAGTAACCTCTGAACACTAAACCATCCAAAGCTGCCACAAAACCTGAACTGATTCATTCATTGCCTTCCCAACAGCACAAATACACCAGTGCTGTAAGAACTTCACAGGCTGGCTCATTGTCCTGTCTCTCACCAGCACCGAAACCCAAAGCCCCACACCAGAGGAACAACATAGGAACAGAAGAAAAAGGACAAGCAAACAGTGACGCATTGCCAGGATACTCCCCTCCAAGCCTGCACCTGTGGACATTACAACATCTGACACCAGGCACTGCCTTCTGCCCATTTCCCTCTTCTGAACAAAAAGGAGATGAAAAATACAACACAATGGAAGAGGATTAGCTCAGGGTTGGGCATGACACTCTTAACAGCCATTTTCATGAAGAAGTGAAAAATACTCAAGGAAACCCTGCTCTTGAAAATTTAAAAAAAAACCCCAACAAATAAAGTGGTTCTTGGGTAGGTCATAACTAGCAAGTGCAGGAAAAAAAGTGTTATTTATTTATTTTGTTCTGTCGTGCAAAATTATGTTGTAAAATAAACCTGTTCAAGTACTATGTACAGCTGACAACAACATGTATTTTATCTTACACAGAAGTGTGTGCTCTAGAAGACTTACTACAGCCCTAGACAAAGACGTGTTATACAAAATGAAACGATTTCTACTATTCTAGGAGGAGACGGAGACAAATTAGTGGCACACATCTCGGTCAGAAGCATGGAGGAATTCCTGAACCTGGAGCCCTGTGCCTGCACCGCTGATGTGGAAGATGAGTGCGTTATGTACTTGGCTGAGTACCCAGCAATTCTCTTCCCCAGGTCTCGGCAGGACCACGGGGGTCGCTCTACCTTTCTGTCATAGTCGCGATCCCACATGTCGTTGATGGTGCAGCCGGCTCCGCGCATGAGCACCGCCCCGAGGCCGAACAGGGACAGCATGTGCCAGTCCGGGAGGGAGCCCGGCTCGGC